AGCTTGATTACCTAAAATGTGGATATCCCCAACTAATAATTAGCTTAGTACGTGTGTTGTAGCGCTGCTAACAAATAATCTGAACATAGGGGCGTATTTAATAAATACCAGTTACTATAATATAATGCAATCAAGTTAGCCCCAATTAGCCTTTTATCATTATTAGCTCAATGCTAACAAATGCCAAAAATCCTGATCAGTGCTAATAATAAAAGTCACTCAGATATTTGGACGTTAAAAAATACAGTTTCTATTGACAATTACCTTATAAAAAGCACTGTGTCTGCATATTATAGGAAACGTCCACTATTTCTAAGAGCCAATCCAAACCGAAGCAGCCCCGAGTCGCACCTTGTCCCCCAGACGGAGGTTGAATCCGTCCAGCTCGATGAAGGCGGAGGTCTGAATGGTGGTCTCCTGTTTGAGCTCCTCCATCCTTCCCTCCGGTGAGAGGCGAGACCAGGCCACCACGTAGCCCAGGGAGCTGTTGGAGCTGCCGTCAAAGCTGCACTTCAGGTAGATGGCGCTACCTGTGGCCTCCGAGACGATCACCGGTACAGGCGGAGTGGGAGGTCGATTAGCTGACAAGGAAGAATCGGACAGAGTGCGTATGTTAATGGGGCCTGACATGGAAAAAATACTAAAAAAAAAGTTGGTGAACAAAGCCAATAAAATGACAGTTGTGCACAAAAATGTAGAGGCTCTTATGTGAACATGTTACCTTCCATGGGATGGGGTTTACCATTCAGCCCCGGTGTCTACATACTTTTTTTTTCCATTCAATATTCAGGGTTTTCAGAGACAATGAGATCCCCCACGCAGACAGAAACACATGGGCAGGACCACGTTTTTATTGCTGTGGACAATCTTGCATCTATCACAGTCCATATTCTGTGCAAAAATGCTTTATAAAGGTAAAATTAGGTCAAGGTGAGGTTCGATCAACCAAGCTGTCATCTTCCAAAAGTTTCCAAAAGCAGCAATACAGTTTAAATAACCACAGACATTACTTTTATGATTGGATTAAAACAGACTTTTGAAGCTTGGTCTTGATTTCAGATAAACATTGGAAGACGAGAGTGTGGATTTTGTCTTTCATAAGCTCCAAAGCAGGATGGAAAGGGGTCACTTAAAGGCCAGCATGAGCAGCAGGAAGGATCCCAAAAAGTGAAATACATAATAAACCTGATAAATGCAGCAGAAGTTGTGCAGAGAAAAGCATCAGCGGTGGAACATGAATCTTAACCAGAAAGCATTGAGCAAAGCCCGTTCTCTATAACAGAGCAGTGAGCTTTGGAATAACACGGATCCCATTATTTAGTTAATGAAGTAATCTTTCTTCCATCTCTAATTAAATCCCCCCCCCCTCCTCCTCGTCTCTCCAGCTCCGTCACCTTCCTAAAACTTTTAATTCACGACCTGGCCGAGGGCTGTCGCCATGGAGACAGGGCCCAGCGGACGCCGGGACACATGCTCAGCTCATTAAGGGGAACGGCGAGGGGGCCGGCGGTACATTCCTGACCACATGGCAACACCCTGACCTCCTGATTGTTGTGGAGTTTGACCTAACACGAGGAGACAAGCGAGGGCCGTAAACACGGCAGCAGGGTCCTCACTTTTACATGTTCCAGCGACGTTCACCTCGTCAGGGCCGCAGACCGGTGACGTCGAGGGGGAAGTGTCTGGGATCTCTGTTAGATAGATCAGATTCAGAACTTTAGATAATTATAAATCAGTATTAATTAACACGATAAATCACACACGGTGGACGCAAGACTCTGAAGCAAACATGCACCTCGTCTGTGTGACTTTATCTGGTTAAGTTTGAGCGTGTTTGTTATTTATCAGTGGTTTTGTTTCCACTTTGAATCTCAGCGTTTTGAACTGATGCTGTTATGATCAAAAAATGATATAATATCTTGTTCTAGGAAAGATTTTGAAGCTGCTTACTCATAAGTAATGCAGTCTTTTGTCCGCACATTTTAAATACAGTCGTGACTCGATAACCTGAGACTAAATGTAAAACCTTCTTCTATGTCGGATAGCAAGGCTGTTGGATTGTCCAGACGGAGGTCCAGATACAAGGAGGGCTTGATGCTGGAAGGCTCATTAGTTGTTCATTATTGTTCATAGTTGTTATAATAACTAGTAGGGCTGGTCCCAATAGAACTTTCTGCTCTCTGGATATTCAGGCCCAATTAATGATGAATATCAGAATATCTGGTGTGGTCGGGGAACACGTCCACTCTGACGGGGTGGAAGTGTCCAGAACACACAGGCAGTACTTGGCTGCTGATGCTAGTTTAGTTAGCGCTCACACTTCTGTTTCCTCCATCGGTGGCGGCGGGGGAGTGGCAGATACGCTCCACCGTTACCATCCATGTTTACTTCCATAAACACTGAGCACGCTCGCTGCGTGTGACGTCGTCGT